CTGATATCTTCTAAACTACCCACAATGCACTATTTCTCAGTATCCTATGGAGGATCTACTCTGTGCTACTGAGTTCGTATGCTAGCTCGGTAGCTAGCTCAAGTAATTACATTCCAGACCAAATGTAGGTGGTGGTGAGCTACAATCCACCAATCACAGGAAGTGTGATGTAAACAAGCAGCAGATGGGGAACGTACGACCATGCAGCATGCTCTTCACGGACTTGTGGCTATGTTATCTTGTGTTATCTAGTGGGAACCCGTTAGCACGGCAGGCTCTGGTGCCTTCTTCCCGTTGGCTCAAAACGAAAGAAAATCATTCCTGCTTGCTCTAATTTTGTAGTACCTCGTCTGTTCTTCTTTATGATTTATCAACTTTTCAGCATGTTCTCTGTGAAGTAAGCTACGGGAGTTTTGTAACTTTTTCCAACTTGGCTTAGCTTTAGTATGAAAAAAAAAAAAACTAACTGTAAGTCGCTCTGGATAAGAGCGTCTGCTAAAGAAAATTACTAAAATTACTAAATGTAATAACTCGAAAAATATAAAATTGAAGTGTAACTTTGCATTAGGACTTTTGATGTGTATACTAATGCAAATCCATGTAACATGTGGTTACGTTTATGCTACCTACCCTTTAAAATGTAAAATACTGAAAATGAGAATGAAAGTATGTTCAAGAATCAGCAATGTTGAGACCCTCAATTTGTCGGGGCATGGACTCTACAAGGGGTCGAAAGTGTTCCTAAGGGATGCTGGCCCATGTTGACTCCAATTCTTGCGTTGCAGTTCTTGACACAAACCGGTGTGCCTAGCACCTACTACCATACCCCGTTCAAAGGCACTTACATTTTGTGTCTTGCCCATTCACCCTCTGAATGGCACACATACACATTCACCTGGTCAGTCTGTAATGGAAAGAGCAGGTGTTCATAATGTTTTGTATACATGGCACTCTTGGGCCATTTTGTGTTCTCCAGACACCCTCAAACATTATAAGCCATCATTGGGCTGTATGTACCAATTATTTATGGAGATATGGCCATGTGAATCCTGTCCAATATGGCTCTATGGAGCTGGTTTGTGGTTATTTTGGAAAACGGAGTATAATCAGGGGTGTAGTGCTGTCGGAGCAACGAATCAATGTCTCGCAAGATAACTTAATTAATGATGAATTATTATTCTGCATAATAGCCTGAGTTTAATAGCATACTATAATGTTACTGTTAGACCAAAAACACCACGTAATTTCTTATGAGATTTAAGGATGATTGTGCTGAATGGTCAAGTTCTCATGATGCGGCCAAAACTAAACGCCATAGGATAAATGTGCTGTGATGGAAGCAATACAGGTAGGCTAGTCTGTAGCTTGTTTAAGATCATCTGCTCTGAAATCCGCTCAAAGAGTATTTACTCACATCACTGAAGAGGATCTAAATGCATATTCTCATGAAACTGAGAGATCATATGGTAATGGTTGGCATTCAGATGCAGCTTGGCCATTTTTCACCCGTAAAAAATATTTCACAATTGGCTGAAAGGTCTCATCATAAAAGTATTTTGTTAAAATGGGTTACCTGTCTCTCTGCTGGACATAATACATTCCTAGGGCATTTTACCTAAAGTGACATGTACAGGGCAGGTTTCCTGCAGTGGCGTCATTAGGCCTGGGCTTCTGGGGCTTCAGCCCCGGATGTTTTTGGTCCAGCCCCGAACCTTTTGATATGAGTGTTCATAACCACACATCACCTGCGCTATGCAGTATAAAAATAAAAAGTTTTACTGACACATTTAATATTTAAAAACAAAAACATCTATACAATATACTGCTCTAGGTAGTAGCATGCACTGCAAGTAGCTCTTGGAGTGGCGTGGTGCCTGCTGTGATTGGTCGAGATTTCACAACGCAGTGGACCGCTCACGTCCCTTGACCCCTCCCCCCACCCCTACAGCACCGGTTAGATGTCAATGTCATCACTCCCCGAGCCAACTAGGTGAAAAATCTGTCGATGTGCCCTTGAGCAAGGCACTTAACCCTAATTGCTCCTGTAAGTCACTCTGGATAAGAGCGTCTGCTAAATGACTAAAATGTAGATGTAAATCGTAGTTCGTCTCTACTATTATGTGGGGAACTTTTATTTTGAAATGTTCCGAAATTCTGTAACCCGGAAGTACTTTCTTAGTGTTGCTGACTGGCTTCTGATTCATTTGACCCACAATTCCACTCAAGCTTTCTTAGTCAGAAAAACATGGCGTCGAGGGCACCAGGTAAAAATCACCTGACTTTAAGCATTTCTTTAGCCCAAATCGAGATGAAACATTGTTGAGTAAAGTGTGATGTTGATTTGTGAAAACATCAAAAGCTAATGCGTAGTGTTTGGGTGTGTTCAAATCCATGTTTTTTTAAAATCTATTTTGTCGTGTCCTCTACTGAGTGTCCTAGCTAACGTTAAGCTAGCAATGGCAAATCAAGCGAAGGCTCAGTGGTGTCTGCCAGACTGCTAGTGACAAATTTAACCTTTAAATGTAATATATGCCAAATGCATTTTCAATTGATAGGTAAAACAGTGCTTCGGTCTGATCAACTTTCAAACGCCACGTCAGTACAGATCGATGATTATCAAACACTAAGCATCTATTGCCTAGCTTTAGCTAACTTGGTAGTTGTAAGCATATAGCTAGTTAGCTAAAATTAAAACAAAGCAAGATAAGTTGACATGCAAGCCAGCACAACTTGGCTAGCTAACAGTACCCGGTATTACTACTGACATTGATTATAATCATGTTTGATGTCCTCTATCCATACTTCCTGTACACCCCTGAGTCAGAAATATGGCCAGATCGCACAGTTCCCACATAGCTAGTACTCTGTAGGTAATAACTGCATGAAATGTCATCTACTAGCACTCTATCCAGTTATCCACCACAAATGGAATGTTTGCAGTTGGGATACTCTACTTGGTTTGCCCAAATAATACTGTCAAACCCTCCCTCCCTCAAGTCCCTAGCTCTGTAATCATCTCAATTCTAGTTCATCCACTTAAGCATCTTCTTAAATGAATGGAGAACATGATTTGGTGTCTCGTTGCTTTTGTACTGCAGTGATTGCAACTGCATTTCTAATTTATGTTTTAGTCAACCAAATCTTGACTGTAAATTATCTGACTCTTCTTCTGGCCTCCCACACAGCAGCTACTGGCAGACTCCTGGTCGGCTTCCGTAAATGGTACTACAATGCCGCCGGATTCAACAAAATTGGCAAGTCTTGGGAGTATTTTCCTTTGGGGCCATCATCGAGGGGCTTCAGACAAATAATTTCACTCAATCTTAGAAACATCTATAATCTTCAGTTAGATATTTCTCTGACACTGTGTGGTGCTTGTTTTGGTTCCAGGTCTGATGCGTGATGACACGATCCATGAGGATGGCGATGTGAAAGAGGCCCTGCGGAGGCTCCCAGAGAAAGTGTACAATGACAGGATGTTCAGGCTCAAGAGAGCCCTGGACCTCTCCATGAAGCAGGCGGTTCTGCCCAAGGAACAGTGGACTCAATATGAGGAGGTATGGCAGACCTGGGCTTAAATGCCATTTGAATAATGAAATACTTTCAGTGTGTTTAATTGAGCTTGCCTGGCGTAATGGACCTATAGAATATTCTCAAAATGTTAAACCCCGCCCATCTGGCACTCCAGGCAGGCTAGTGCAAACGCTCAAAGTATTTGAGGTACAGTGCATATAGAGTTCCACAGTATGAGTCATAATACCCATAAAACCTAGTGGTCAAACAGGGAAATGGTTCCAATAGTGTTTTATTTTACATTTACATTTTAGTCATTTAGCAGATGCTCTTATCCAGAGCGACTTACAGTAGTGAGTGCATACATTTTCATATGGTCCCCCGTGGGAATCGAACCCACAACTCTGGTGTTGCAAGCACCATGCTCTACCAACTGAGCTACACGAGACCATCTTTCCACCATTCATTTTTCCCAAAGGGGATTTAAAAAACACTTAAAATAAGGGCTGTGTCCCATGTAGGCTTACCCTCACGTGACGTTTTGATAACTGTATAAATCTCTCTTGGACAAGGTGACTTTTATCAATATATTCACCTGTATTTACCACCCCCCAAAAAAAATGTTTTGGGGGGAATGCTAATGTGGCAATCATAAAGAACTTGCCATGATGATCTGGATAAGACTGCAAGAATCTCTGGATTAACTATCTAATGTTAGCTACATGTAATTATGAATAAATTAGCTACATTTCTTTAAATGGACAATTCTGTGAACTGTTTTAAATTGACACATTACCTGTTAGCAAAGGTGTCCGCTAGAGATGATGTGCAGGAGCTTGCAGGGATTTGTAGTCTTGCATGATGTCTACCCTGTTTGTCCGCTAGGTTTTATGGTTATGACACCTCCACTGTTGGCCTCTATGGTCTCACATACAAGAGTTTGTGTACAGGAAGGGCTTTGAGATGTCACTGGGGAAATGGAAGATATGTCAGAAGTTTCACAGCAGTCGATGTTATGGTGTAACAATGTGATGAATGACAAATCTAGCCTATCAGAGGTTAAGGTGATATTGTTACCATATTGATCGTGCTACACTAATTGAATAAACAGGTTGGATTGAAATTGACCAATCGTTGAGGAGTTGGGAGATGCCTATTAAGCTGTTTAATGTCTACCAGATGTGGTTTGTATACTAAAAACCACATCTGGTAGAGGTGGTGGGAGAAAATTGACAGAACTAATCTTGTTTTTGTGTTTGACCTTTCTCCGTAGGACGTACATTACCTGGAGCCTTACCTGGAGGAGGTCATCCATGAGAGGAAAGAGGTTGAGGAGTGGTCTAAGAAATGAGATGGCTCTGGAGGGCTGATGTTCCTTCTCTTTGGTCTGGTGCATGGTTGTCCTCTGTTGTAATATTTAAAATAAAGTGTACCCTGTGGGAAGACTGTGTGCTTATTAAAAATGTTAATTTTCACAAAAGATGTGAGTGGAGTCTTTTTCTTTTTTAAAGCTAACCAGGATTTGATCCCACAGAAATAGTTTTATTTACGGTAAAGTCAGTTTAATCCCACATTTTATAGCACTTTTGTAAAAACAAACTTTCACTCCATTCTGGTCACATACAAATGTCATAATATACATGAAGATACAAGAAACATCTAAATCGAAATATATACAGTACATGTAAATACACGTTCAGTATACAAGTAGTACTATTCTCAAAACTAAGCACTCAAATAATGCTTTACTATGATTGCCACTCATATGATTGGAAGACCAAAAGGACAATTCAATCTATACTATAATCTAGCGCCAATTGCATGTCAACAAATCCTCTGATAATGGGGCAATACATTTGTCAAAATATCTGTTACAAGTACAGATTAATTGGTACATATGGATATAAAACAACGTTGCTCAAGGTCTTCAGTCATCCCAATTGTCTAAAGTTGTCTCTCTTCGTCTCCTTCCCTTTATTTGCACTGGTTTCTTAGACTTCTTTGGCTCAGTGGAAATGAAGTGTGGGAAGCCACTATAGACGATTGAGATGAACCCCTTGTATTGCACAAACCCTTGCTCTATCAACCCTCTATTACCCTCCCTCTGATATTCTACCTGCACTTTAATCAACCTCTTTGTTGGATCTCCTGTTGTCCAGGGCCGTAATTGTATCAATAAAGTTTCCAATGACGCTATTGAAGGATTTCACCATGGACACCCCCAGCTCGTTACTGGTCTCGTTGATATCCGCGTCATAAGCGCCCAACAGGGGGGTAACCACCTCCACGTTCCCCCTCCCTGCCCCCTGAAGGATCCCCATCAGTTGACCCCTGACGTCCTGGAACATCTCCCTGTCGTACTGCAGCAGCACCGTCTCATCCAGGGGGTAGGTGACGTCCTCGGGGTAGCAGTCCCGGGGCACTGGCAGCTCCACGTACCTCAGGGCTGAGAACCCGGCGGCCAGCATGGAGAAGAGGCGGCGCAGGGCCGTGGCGCTCAGAGGGTTGCCCAGTATCTTCAGCTCCTCCAGGCCGCGACAGGGAGCCAGGGCCTGGGTCAGGATGTCCATGTGTTCGTCTTCCAGGTCACAGTCCTCCAGGGTGAGGCTGTGGAGGGTGGCGGCGCAGCGCTGGAGGAGCTTGATGAAGGTGGTGGGGAAGAGGCCGCACACGTCGTGACCACTTATGTCCAGACTGACCAGGTTCTCGCTGTGCAGGCTGTTGGCCAGGTAGGCCATGTCTGTTCGGTTCAGGTTACAGTTGGCCAGCTCTAGGCTTTGCAGTGGGGTGGTCAGGGGGCTGTGGACAAGGCCAGAGGGTCACAAATATATTGCAGTAAATGTTAACTATTTTGCAACGTTATCAATTGTTTGTAAGTGTGTGTGTGCTCCTCATTTCATGCATGCTTGACAAAAAAGCAAAGGCACTATGAAAGCTTTACGATGCATGCCTAATTAATGGACAGTGCAGGTGTCTGCTTGTTGTTTTGGGTCACGGCTTCAGTGATATTTCAATGTCAGCCGTAATTGACACCCTATTCCCTTTAAAGTGCACTACTTTGGACCAGGGCCCATAGGCCTCTGGTCAAACGTAGTATATTATATAGGGAATAGGTTGCCATTTGGGAAGAAGACAGCTGTTAAGTGTCCATTGGTTTCTGGCCGACCTGCAGATTTAGCAGCAGTCAGCTGTCTACATTCTCCCCCACAGCCAAGCAAAAAAAACAAAATGCCACTGAGTGCAAACTGAATAGTGCAAACTGCAGCCCCCATGCTATGATATTACACAGTGGGAATGCATCAGCTTGAATAGACATCCCCAGAGCTATATATACAGTAGACATCAATACCTACACACACACACACAGAGAGGTGAGCACCTTAGTAGTCTTCGCAGGTGTCCGGTGAGGGTGGAGAAGCCCATGTAGAGCTCTGTCAGTTCAGTCAGCCGGCTCAGCAGATCCCCAATGGTGGCCAGCAGGTCATCCTCATCCGAGCCCAGCCTTCGCACATCCATCGCCCCCGCAGGCAGCGTCAGGGACTGCAGCTGGGGAAACTCCATCCGGGACAATAGCAACTCCAGGTGCGGGGCCTCCAGGTGAACGTTATGGACCACCTCGAGTCTCCTCATGGCCTCCGGTTGGGCCACACGCAGCACGTAGAACAGCTGTTTGAGGGCTAGAGAGTCGGCTCGGAACCCGACGAAGCGCAGCTTCAAGGGGCATTGACGCAGGAGCAGGAAGGCCTGGGCCACCACCTCGTAGTTCCGCCCGGTGACGAAGCCGTTCAGGCGCACATCCACCTCGGTCTCGAGGGCGGAGGGTGCAGTGTCACCCGCCTGGATGGCCACCATGACCTCGTAGCATATGCGGGTGAGGAGCTGGGTGCGGGCCCAGCGGCCCAGGGTGGATCCACAGGCACAGGTATGGTGCTCTGTGTCCTTCAGCCCAGTCAGGTCCACCACACGGAGGGTCTTGGCATAGGTCTCTGGGGGCCGCAGCACATAGGACTGGAGATGGAACATAGAATCTAGCTGTTTATTGCCATCAAATGGGAATTTGTCTTACAAATCAAAGGCCCTTAAATGACGTAAGCTGACATTTTTTACGTTTATTGCCCCAGTGGCAACTCAAGTAACTATTGTAAGTCGCTCTGGATAAGAGCGTCTGCTAAATGACGTAAATGTAAATGTAAATGTAACTACAAACACATTCAGACTTGAAGCAAAACAAAAAACTTGTCACATTGGCCAAAACTCAGTGCATCAGTTCACAAGTAGCACTTTTGACCAGTGAAAATTACAGATTGCACCTTTAAAGAAAATAACACCAGAACACACAATAAGCCTACCTTCAGGCCCATCAGCAGAGCTTCCAGGCACAGCCGGCAGGTGCAGGAGGTCAGGTCCTCCTGGCAGTCCACCGTCTTTCCCAGGAGCCTTTGCAGGTTAAGCTCATGCAGGGGCCAGGTTTGGACGAGGTCGTGGAGGAGGAGGGCCTTCTCGTGCATGTAGCAGGCCTTGAAGAGGAGTGGGTAGAGGTTGAACGACACACAGCTGAGATTCTCCCTGGCGCTCGGCCCACTCTGGGCGAACCCTTCGGCAGCGAGGAACCTGAGACTTTTCATGGCTCTCTTCTATGTTCTGTGTTCTACCTCTCCTGTCCTCGAAGTCTGGGTCTTGAAGTGTTAGGATCAACCAATCATCCCTTGTGACTGGATGTGTTTGTAATGTTGCTCTCTCCCTGAGTGTCTCTCTGTGTGTTGATTCTTTGTCTCTGCCAGTACTGTATATCTGTCTGGACCTTGTTTGCTGTGGTATCGTGTTGCGAAAGAGAGGCTTGGGGCACGTGGTAGGTGAGTGAGAGGGCTATTTTTAGAAACAGCTGTCTCATTCCCTTCACCTCGCGAACAGGGAATCTATTTGCAACCTACACCAAGGTGCTGAGCAGCAACAACCTTTTCCTAGCCTACTGCTTACAAAATGAGGCCCAACCTCCCTCCATACCGCCAACATTGAAATGACCTGTCTATGCAAGCAAGCTATATATAAACACCAGTGACAACAATAACAGCAAAGCAATGTAAACAAACATAGCACGGACATGTACAGTACTGCTGTACCTACACAGGATAACATTGGCAACATGCCCACAATGAAATGATAGATTCACTGAAGGCTTAGCTGTTTATCAAGACCAACGCAATGGCGGATCAGATGTCATAGCGTAACTTGACCGGTTACGAAAACATTATCCATTTGAGTACACTGGAACCTCCAGAGTGTTCTAAATACATTGATAAAAAGTCTTAGAGCCTTAGCATGTAATGTTTTGCTTTGGCCATGAGAGAGAAACACATTTGACATTGGACAACTTCCACATGCTGTAAACACAGTGTGTATCGCTTTATTGTGTCTTACAAAGTATTATTTTAAAACATTTTTCATCTTGCCAAATTTGAAAACATCAGCATTCATTAGAGCGTGTGTATAAAAAACTACAATGAACACAAGCAAAGTTTATCATGCTTTCATACATCAAAATACAGACAATACATAACCTACTGCATAAACTCTAATACAGGGATGTAACTGTTTAAATCTTTGCCTTAATAAAAGTATTCATTTATTATATTAAATGTAAGTGGTAATCACAGGAGGATGGTGGCATCTTAATTGGGGAGGACAGGCTCGTGGTAATGACTGGAGCAGAATCAGTGGAATGGTATCAAATACATCAAACACATGGTTTCCAGGTCTTTGATGCCATTCCATTTGCGCTGTTCCGGCCATTATTATGAGTCGTCCTCCCCTCAGCAGCCTCCACTATAGAAACCTGAGAAGAAACATCAGTCTAGAAGGCTTCCAAAGGTGATTAGCATATTTAACACGGCACATTCAACATGAAACTCAGTCATCAATACAAGGCATAACAATTCATTTTTGTACGGAGTTGCTATTACTCGTTAGAATGGAGAGTGGTGGTGTCCCACAGCCCTATACTTTATCTAAGGCCCACCTGACCTGACCAGGAATGGCTCAGGGCCCTAGCTATAGGCTAAACCACAGGGAGGTGTGTCTCTCAGTCTCTGTATCCCTGAGTGGAGTGCAGACTGCAGTCATGCCGGGGGGTGGTAGTGGTGGTGATGGTGGTAGTGGTGGTGATGGTGGTGGTGGTGGTGGTGCTCATGCCTCTGAGCCAGTGGGACCAAGCCCCCAGACGAGGCAGGCAGGCTGGGCAGCATCTCCCTCTCTCCCCCTGGCTGAACTTGAGAACCAGGCTGGTGTAGGTGGTGGAGGGTTCTGGAGAGGGACCCAGCCTCTCTGGCCCTGGAGCGAAGCCTCTTGCTGTGGCTGTACTGTAAGGGGAGTTGGGGCTGGGAGTGTGGTTGGGAGGGGTGGCACCACATGGAGGGGTGGTGGCCATGAGGCTTGCTTGATTTACCCCCACTTCCTCCTCCCCCTCCCCCCTCCTCCTCCTCCTCCTCCTCTGTCTCCCCCCACTGCCTTGACATGGCCCCTGAGAGACCTGATGAAGGAGAGGCCCCTGCCTCTGGACTCAGTTGCACCGCAGTTCTCCCCTACCAACACTGAGCGGTGCTGCTGGTCTGTGCGTGCATCCAGTCTGGGCTCCTGAGAGGGGGCGTCTGCAGAGGATGGACAACAAACATCATGTTATGCTGCCGTTTCTCTTTGTTGAATGTCATTCATCTTTGGTGTGTTTTCAGTAAAAACATGTTGACTTTAATGATCTGTGCCTCAAAAGTGCTGAAAATGGTAATTGTGTACCTACCTGCATCGTCAAACCTGGAGGAATAGTTCTCTATCCCAGCTAGGTCTAAGTAGTGGTTCCTGCGTTCTGTGTTTTCATCCACACAGTGAAAAGTCCTCTCTGGGCTCCTAGCCTCCTCCTGTTGGACCTCCATTCTGTCCCCTGTTCTGGATCCCCGGCCGGAGCTGCTGGAAGGGCCCACCACCAGTTTGACTTTTAGCGCTGTGCTGCTACAGGACGGCTGCTTGGCCGACGCTTCAACCACCTCGTAGATGGACTGCATGAGACTGCACATATCCTGTAACACACACACACATCATTGTTCACCCAGTCACATACACGCACACACACATGCACATCATCATACGCACACACACACACACACACACACACACACCATTAGCAGGGCAGCAGAGTTATCTTAATCTAAAGAGAAAACGTATATTGCGCAAGAGTTCCTTGTTGTAGGCGTGTGGAGCTGCCGTACCTGCTTGGTGACTTTACCGCTGTTGTCAAAGTGATACAGTGTGAAAACCCACTCTTGCCGAGTGTCATCCTCCAACACCACGTTGCACTCTGTGTCCTGTAACCATGAACAAACACAACGGATGAACAAACACAACTGTACCATATTATGCTCATCAAACAAACCCTTGCTTTACTGTATATAGCAGTAATAAACTACTATGTTATCTACATAGATTCTATATAGATTCTCCTTTTGAAGCTCACATCAACATGGCTGTTTCTCTTCCTGGGCTGTCTGAATGGAACATGGATGTAGCTCTCCCTGTCCTTCTCTGGTGGCAGTACCACTGTAAAACACACACAGTACATTCTCATTAGCCTTGGGCTGGGAAAGCTTGTGTCTACTCAATCTATTACACTCATTGAATGGGTATTTTCTGTTTACAGACAACAATACCCACATACTATCCCAGGTTTCAGGCATTTGCGTGCAAATATACAACAAACTTCCTTTTTCCCAGACAACCAAGGGGTATGCTTAGTTAAGATATGAATCATACCGAATCAAACAGATGAATCATTGAGTATGCTGTTAAGTTTATGATGCATGCTAGATTTGGATCAGTGCAACAGTAACGCGATCAGATCCACTGAGCCGTCTTTCTCTACTCACCCTGTAGGGGGCACTTATGGTTCAAGACCTGCTCATCCTTCACTTCCCTTCTGCACAACTCCTGGAAAAAGAAGGAGGGGAGGGATGCACCAAGTGAGAATTAGGAGAGAAGAAGTCACAGAAGAGGAGGAGGAATAGAGTGAGGGAGAAGGAAGCAATAAATGACTCAGAGATGTGAGAGCAGGAAACCTTTGATCATCTGGGGGCCTATTGTTTGTCATCATCTGGGTAAATAATACTGTGAGAACCAGCATCCCAGCTAATGCTTTCAAGGTCACCTCAACGTCCGATAAATTCCATAAAGCGATATGTATGTATAATGTGTTCTATCACTAATCAGATGTAATGCAGACACAGCACATCCGCCTCTATATACACACATGCACACATGCGCGCGCACACACACGCACTAATTAGATATACAAGTAACTAGCACAGGACCAATAGTAATTAATTTCCCCTTTGGGATGAAAGCTGAGCCTCTAATCTGACCCCTGATCTCCTCCGCTCACTGGGACAGAGGGGTTCTACAGTTGATGTACTGAGGGTCAGTGGAGAACCCCGGAACATTGTCACATGGGACTGAATGGGGAACAGAAGGTCAAGACGTCACCACCCTGAACACAGGAGCCACAGACAGATGACTGACCTTCTCTCCCAATGGGCACACACTGGTTGAATCAACGTTGTTTCCACGTCATTTCAACTAAATTACATTGAACCAACGTGGAATAGACGTTGAATTGACGTCTGTGCCCAGTGGGCTGTCTGTCTCGTTTCTAAACTGGCCTTACTGAGAGATATAATCTGCCAGGGTCTATTTTCCTAAAATTTGAAGAGCTACTTCTGATATCAGAGTCCAAAAATGGCTGACATTTGCTCAAATCTACCTCAGAATCAAATGTAAATATCCAGAAGAAGCAGAAGACAACTTTCTATTATATTCTAGGTATTTTATTCTATATTATTTTATTATATTCTATTCTAGTAAAACACAGAGAGGGAATAAAGCACGGGAGAAAGGTAGAACCTATCAGGGTGAATTTACTGTAAGAGCAGGCAGGCAGTCATGCCCCGGCCATGCCAGCTTTGACATCACTCTATCCAGTAAAAGTAGATCCATTAAGTCACTCTTGGTAATAAAGTAATATCACCCACCGAGTTCCCATATATGAGTAGAACTGAGCGTCTCATATGGAAACAATAACACATGGTAAATGTACAGACTATGTTCAAGAACCTGCTGAGACTACAAGCTATTTATAATGCCTATGTGCTTAAAAAGGCTCAAGATGGATATTAACTTCAATTAAATCCACTGGGTACTTCTTGCTTGGCGAGTACCCACACTTTGAAACTAGGTGTTCCCCTGAACGGTGCTGAGCATATTACATGTGTTATCAAGACCTATCAAGATCTGAGCCTATGATATCCAACCCTCTGTTGCAACAAGTCAGAAACCCTTCAGAAAATGACAGTGAAAGCACCAAAACATTGTATCTGTGCGTCTGACTCTCTCCACCACAGACAGTCCCAGTAGCACACAGTTGTCCACGGCAACAGAGTAACAAAGAGCCTGTGGAGTATGAGAGGACGATGCTGACAGATAATCCTGACTGCTGATGGCTTCACCCAGTGTCCCAGCCAAACTCTGCCTGCTACGGGCCCTTTTATCTGGGGTAGGGTTACCGACCGAGAGGGGAGGGGAGGGGAGGTAACCCTACCCCAGATGAACTGGGTGTCACCAATTTTTGCATCCTGTCCCGTAGCCCCCCTCTCTCCCACTCCCCTTAGTTAGAGTCAAACGCAGAGCCCTGGGAAGAGAACAGTGCAGGGCTTTGTTTGAACAAACTCTCTTCCTGTCAACCAATACCTGGATAGGTGGTTGATCATCTCTCTTCCTGTCAACCGATACCTGAATAGGTGGTTGATCGTATGGGGGTGGTGCTGCATGGGGAAGGATGGTTGCTTCATTGCAGGAGTTTATGTGAATCGGCTTCTTTATACATAATAGGAAGATAAGTCACTGGAAGTTGGTATACAAGTTGATATAGAAGTATTGGAAGTTGATATACAAAAAATGTAAAAGGGTTAGGGGTTGATTTCAGACTCAGGCACAGAATAACCATTAAGAAGTGCTCATTTTCAGAGGCCTGGCCTTGCTCACAGAAACCAGATGTGAGAGATTTCTGGAGGAGGGGAACTGAGGGAGGGATTTGGATGTTGAGCTGTAGTTGGGTGAGGAAATACTGGAGCCAGAGTCTGCACGGGTGGTTTGGCTGCTGAAACGTAGAGCTCATTTCACAGGAAGAAAATGCCTCTCTAGCTAGCTATAGAACCGGGCCTCTCTCCAACTGGCCAATCAGATCTGCTGGCCTTCAGGGCGCAAAGCATTGGGAAATTTCAGATCATTGTGGGTAGAGATGTCCAAGTGTTCTCACCACCCAATGACATGATGAACCATGGTTTCTTTTTCATTTTCTATCTCTCTCTCTCTCTCTCTCTCTCTCTCTCTCTCTCTCTCTCTCTCTCTATCTATCTATCTATCTCTCCCTCTCTCTCTCTCTCTCTATCTCTCTCTCTCTCTCTCACTCTCTCTCTCTAGTATTCTGTCTGAGCTAACAGCCCAGCAAACAGGGTGGTTTCCAAAATCACTTGAAGGTTCTCCAAGTAACCAAACATGAAAGGGTGGAGAAAGACACCCGAACGATCCAATCCAGCTTGCCTGGCTCAGAGCTGGAATGTTCTGGGAGGCGATCTCAGCCCAAATATGATCACAGAGTCCAGAGTCTGAACAGTCTACAGCCGATAGAATAATGAACAGAAACCTCTGGGGCAACAAACAGGACAGAAACAATACGAGGAGGGTTGGAAGGAAGGTTCCCCCACTGGGCACAGACGTAAATTCAACGTCTATTCCATGTTGGTTCAACGTAATCTCATTGAAATGACGTGGAAACAACGTTGATTCAACCAGTGTGTGCCCAGTGGGCCTCTACAAACACAACAGAATGACTGGTCCAGTTTTTCAACACTGCAGTTCCACATCCATACACACCACACAGACTGCAACCCGATGTGGTTGGTTTCTCCTCTAACTTTGTTAGTGTTTGTACGTTCTAATCTCTGGCTGCCATATCTGAACGTGATCCAGACCTGCCTTGGACAAACAGGTTTGATAATCAAACGTGCCTTTGTTAATCCATCAGGTGATATTATCTGCACTCCACCCTGAGTCACAGTAATTGGACAGATACAGTATGTCAATATTGAGGGAAGTCAGAAATTGTTTAAAATCCTGTTTGAATTAAGTATGACACATCCTATCGGTTTTTCTGCAGATATTGTATCACATGACTTTTGAAAACTGAGTAGAACCAGTACAGAATGGAAGAACACATTCATTCACAATCAGTAGCTGCTGAGATCAGACACCTTACAGTAAAGGCAGTAGGGCCTCACTCCAAAACATGGCTGCTGTTTATTTTCAATTCATGCATGGTAAATATGTTACTCTTTCCAAAGAGAGGAAAGTCTAGGACCAGTGCCCCTCAGCACACACTCTATATACAGCACACACACACACACAAACACACACACACACACACACACACACACAAACACACACACACACACACAAACTCCCTTTGAAGTGGAGAAGCCAGAAGAGGAGGAGAGAGAGGGGAAGAAAAGGTTAATTCTTCCATGGCTAACAGTGGGCTCTCTGACTGAGGTGTGTGACGGAGACCTTTGGTGTCTCACTGGGTCTATGACCTGAGGCTGCAGGATGTTGACACAAAATATAGGTGTTACTGCTAGACCCTGTGGCACCCCGATGGAGGCATCACAGCCGAAACATAGGTGAAATGAAATAGTGAAATATCTCACTCTATAATCAAGGATAGACCGTTCGCTATTAGATTCTGCTGCAACACAACCGAGAGGTTGCAGTTTAATGTGATCTTATAATTTACATTATAATCAAGCTTCCTTACTGAAAAGAGGACAAACCATGAACATAAGCTCAGACAGCCAGGCACACATATGAAGTGCCCAGGCAAAGAACATACAGTACATTACAAACTGTAGGCCCCTGCTGACAGTTATATAAGCAATGGTGTCATGGAGCAGTTAATGGTGGGGCTGGAAAACAGAATCACAGGAACAACTGAACTGCCATTAAAAAGACATTGAGGATGTTGGTCTCATTACAGGAACCTGACAGGCTCTGCCTCTCTTTCCTAATTACAGGCTCCAGAGAGGCAGCAACATAGACCAACACTTCATTAACACCTCCTCACCACCACAATGAGTTAAACATGTCCCTGCAGCAGGCATTCAACATGGCTCCAATGGGTCTATCCAAGTGTTGAGAGATGATTACGAGAGTGAAAAGAATACATAAAAAATATGTGAGTGAGGCAGTGAGTGGTCAAATAAGAGTTATGAGCATGATGATGTTGTATAGGACTCTCACTATGCTACATGATGATGTTGTAATGGACTCTCACTATGCTACATGATGTTGTATAGGACTCTCACTATGCTACATGATGTTGTATAGGACTCTCACTATGCTACATGATGTTGTATAGGACTCTCACTATGCTACATGATGTTGTATAGGACTCTCACTATGCTACATGATGTTGTATAGGACTCTCACTATGCTACATGATGATGTTGTATAGGACTCTCACTATGCTACATGATGATGTATAGGACTCTCATGCCCCTACAGCTCCCCAAACCTGACCGTCTCATTAACAGTACTAGGCCTACATCTGAGGCACAGGAGGCTGCTGAGGGGAGGACGACTCATAACAATGGCTGTAATGGAGTGAATGGAATGGCATCAAACACATTGAAACCATGTGTTTGATGTATTTGATACCATTCCATTGATTCCGTTCCAGCCATTACTATGAGTCCGTCCTCACCAATTAACCGGCCGCCTGTGATGTGAGGGCGGTCCACCCACCACCAGACACTACGCCTACCATACCTTGTTCCCTTCCCTGTTTTTTTCCCCCTGTTCTGTTGCAGTCAGAAAACCAGGACCAGATGTGTGGTTTCAGTGTGGCGGCACTGAAAGACCCCGCTGTTCTGGACGGTGGCCATATGTGTTTCACACTGACATAACAGCCTCTTCTCACAGAGAGAGAAAAGGAAGCAGCGGGGAGAAAAAAAGGCCCTTTCATGTCCCTGGCTTGGCTGTGAGCTATGATCCTGTGGCTGCCTTGCCTTGACTGGGACTGGGAGGGAGGGAGCGTGTCTGGCTAGTTTATCATCCTGGGCTGGGGCAGACCTGGCTGAGAATGAGTGAACCCCAGTGTGAACACCAGTGTGAACCCCAGTGTGAACCCCTGTGTGAACAACTGTGTGGATACAATGTGAGCCCGAAGTGGTGACTGACAGTGTTAACAAGAGTGACAAGACAGCAATTCACAATGTTTTTTGTTGTTTACCAATTTACCAACCCCAGATGGTACAAACTTTGGCTATGATTTATGAATAAAGGTTGATGAATACAACAACATCCTGTACTCAATATTGAGAATGGTCAGTTGACCTCCCTCTGTCTCATAAAATAACCACCTTTACATTTCCATTAGGGTTCTAACCCCTCCCACTCTGGGAGGCCTTGGCCCATTCATCTGCCCCGTCACAGGACTCCACCATTCTGGTTCTCGTTAGCATCATTATCCAAGTTCAAGCCTCTCCACTCTAATGACACACATGTCTGTGTTGCTATCCATTTACAGGCTTTTCTATGCCAAAAAAAAGACCCACTTTTATCCAAAGCGACTTACAGTCATGCGTGCATACATTTTTTCCCACTATCCTGATGCTGCAAAGGCCATCAGCTCTACCAACTGAGCTACAGAGGACAACTTGATATTGATAGTGATATTTGTGATGAGGTAACCGACTTTCTGAGGTAAAGGCATGTTACTCTCTCACTCTCTCTCTCTCTCTCTCTCTCTCTCGCTCTCTCTCTGTCACTCTCTCTCTCTGTATCTCCACTCTCGCTCTTTCTCTCTTAAATCTTCAAAAGTGCCAAAATATTAATCATATCTCAACTCAGGTGTAAAATATATAAACTGTATTATAATGTACTGTACCTGCTTAAATCTGATTGGGTGGGTGTGGAGACCCGTATGTTCCCGCTCTCTCTGACAGGTGAGCACATTGGCAGCAAAACTACCACCTGGAAAATAAAAACTAAATAAGAAATAGTCTATACCCTGCATGACATTTTATATTTGAGAGACATACTTTTGAATAGGTGATTCTTACCTTCAGGATTTTCTCTGCGTTTACAGGCTATCCAAATTATGCATAAATGGAAACATAAAAGATATAAATAAAATACTGTTACATTTTGGTTATTAAGAGATATACAGTAGCCTCTGAAACTAATCTAAATACCAAGTTTTACCATGTTTTGATTGGAGTTTGCCCATATTTTGTGGTATTTCCTCTCGTGCCTTGAACCTTCATCTATTTGCGCATTGACCAATACATTTTCATCATCTCCCATTGATAAGAACAAAGACAGTTGTATCCTGTATGCACCGATATATCAATTTTCCCATCAAGTTATTAAAGGGTTGAGATAGGCTAAAGTTTGTTGAGGTAAACAAGAGGACCGAAGCTTTGGGAAAGTGCTCGCAATATGGACAGAGGGAACTTGCGGAACTTAATATGAAAAAGAAACGAATAATCTATAGAGGGTACAGCACCTCCTGCTGGCCATTAGGGGAAGGTATTTTCCCCAAACCAACTGTGGATTTGTATTATGTGTGCATACAACAAATGACATTGCCGTAATTAAACGCATGCATGATGTGTCTATGCATGTAAACATAAAATAAGAGTCCTTCATTATACAAACGTTTTATTTGTTAAATATCTAGATCGCTGTTTCCCTAAATAGGCTACTGTAAATTCCCTGAGATAAATATTGCCACCCAGTGGTGGTAACACATTGTGACACGTGTCTGCGTAATTGTGCATAGAATGGACCAGGTACTGAATGACTAGAACGCCACTTCAGTTCCAATCACCTGTTGCGCGTTTATGATGTCTATCTTCTGGAACGAGACCTTTTTGGTCAAAGATTCCTCAACATTCTTCATAATATTTTCAACGGGGTTGGTAAGACAAAAGCAGTAAAGGGGTATAGCTTCTATGGCATTTAACTGAAAAATGAGTTGAAGAAGGGAGAAGGCGCGAAAAGATGGATTACAGGAAACGCTTGATGATCCTCCAGGTAACGTTAGGTTTAGACGAACTCCAACCGCTAGGGTAGGCCTATTGGCCGTTCTCCCTCTAACATCATGTCCTCTATATGCTCTCTGTGTACACTTATTCAAGTGTATTAACTGCTTTTAACTTTTCCATATAGTTGAACAACTTTTACAAAAGACTAACATGTTTTTGGGGCATCCAATTAACACTTTTTCTACTGCAGCGGGCATCGGAGAGCACCAGGAGGAGGTGGTCTGTGCTGGAGCAAGATGAGGAGCCTGAGATGAACAACATCAGAGACATCACCCAGCAAAAGGTGTAGGCTTTATTTATACTGTAGGGCTTTTCACTGGTATGATTACTTATATAGTGAATAATGAGTGGGTTAACATAGAGAGAGAGGTATACAAAGAAAATCACAGAGAGTTCATTCACAGAGATATCAGGCTACTCAGTTTTTTCAAACTATGTTCAAACAGATCTTCATCACTAATACTGGTACTTGGGGAGAATTATTTAATTATGTTCACCCTTCCAGGAGACAGGGGCTCCGGTTAATCTAGGTGAGAACATAGATGATTCAGAATACGAATATTGACCTCTGACCTCTATACCCTGTAGGATGACTCAGACACTGAGGACTATGTCTCCCAGGTGCTCATGGGTGCGCTGCTGGAGAACTTCCTGTTCAAATTACTCATTATCGTCATGATTGTCAGCAACTGCATCATCATGGCCTTCCAAACCGACGCTATCATTGCCAAGGTAAATTATGGTCACTGAGGACCTCTAAAGAGGTATTGTAGGCCTACTTTCATACTGAAAGCTCACTTTATATGAGAAGTCAACAGATAACAATTAACTAAAATGCAATGGTATGATTTGTCCATTGTAGAAGTATGACATTGCGTTCAGCATCTGTGAGCATATTATCCTCACCGTCTTCATCTGGGAGATCCTGGTCAAGTGGTACTACGGCTTCAACATCTTCTGGAAGGTAATGTCTGGTCAAGAGATTGATTTGACACGACCTATTACTTACTGTGGCCTTCTCAGAGACCATCGTGATGTCATTCTTGTCTCTCTCTCTCGTTTTGGTGTTTCAGAATGGCTGGAATGTCCTGGACTGTTTGGTCACTTTGGCTCTGATGCTTGGACCCCTGATCTTTCCCCAGGGTGGGGACAGTTTACTAAAGGTCATCAGGTGAAGGAGTACCCCTCACACTCCGCAGAAACACATTAGTGGAAACGTAGGGTGTTCTCAGGGCAGGCCTGGTTGTAACTAGATATGTTTGAGTCAGGTCGGGACAATTTTATCATTTTAGCTAACCCCAACCCTTTTTCTAACCTTAACCTAATAATCCTAACCTGCTGTATAAGTTATTCTAACCTGCTATGTAAAGTAACTTCTGCTGGTCAAAATCGGCAGGCCTGCCCTGAGAACACCCTACGTTACTACTAATGTGATACTCCTCACACTCCCCAACCCTTTGCTCCCATCATTCTTATCACAAGGAGGGCATCAAATATGATCCTCACCACACTCATTTTTCTCCATTCGTTAGTGATCAAATAAATAAATAATTTTCATGCACAATAGTTTTTTTGTGTGTCAAACATCAACAAGAAACATTATTTGTTGTGTAGTTGTAGTTGTTGTTGTGTGCTGCTTTCCCACTGGGCACACACTGGTTGAATCAACGTTGTTTCCATGTCATTTCAATGAAATTACGTTGAACCAATGTGCAATAGACGTTGAATTGAGCCCAGTGGGTTGTTACTCCATGTTGTAATGTGTTATTTCTTGTGTGTGTTCCAGGGTGTTGAGGGTAATCCGTAGTGTCAGGGGTTTTGCTTCCATGCAGGGTATGGCTATGATGGTCACCGTCATAATGCAGTCCATCCCAGACATGGCCAACATCTTCTTCCTCCTCCTCATCATCATGCTTGTAGGTGTTATAGCATGTACCAATTCAACCTCTCTCTCTCTCTCTCTCATTCTCTCGCTCTCTCTCACTTCATCATCAGTCATCTTAATCCATTCCCACTTCTTCACCTCATTCTCGTGAAAATAAACATTATAACAGTCAAACTATGACACCCCAGTTCTTGCTCGTTTATAGTATTTGATATTTGTGTATGTTGCTATGGCCCCAGATGAGTGTGTGATGTGTCAAGGAGTGATACTGAGACCATATAAATGGATTCTACAACTGCTCAGTTGTCCCCTGTGTTTGTGATGGTGGGACATCTGCTCAGTTGTCCCCTGTGTTTGTGATGGTGGGACATCTGCTCAGTTGTCCCCTGTGTTTGTGTCTAATGTCTCTGTTGATGTCCTGTCTGTGTCTGTCAGGTGTTTGCAGTGTTTGGCGTGACCCTGTTCAGTGCTGCTGTCCCATCAGCCTTTGGGGACCTGTTCTCGGCCCTCTACACCCTCTTCATCTGCATCACCCAGGACGGATGGATGGACATCTACAGGGAGTTTAAGGCGTAAGTGACACAAAGCCCTACATTTCCCCTTATCCAGTTCATACATTATATGTCCTTGGATAAAGACTACATTTCCCATTATCCAGTTCATACAGTATGTGTCCTTAGATAAAGATTTTGAAAAGCAAGAGGAGATCATTTTATTAGTCAAATGCAGGTTAGCATTTTTCATCATGAATCTTGTTTCCTATTGCTCTGTAAGAGGTGGTCTTCACTAAAACAGTAAATCTCTTAAACAATGTAAACTATGCTTTGGTCCTATTATTGCTCAAACAATTTATATTTGGCGCAAAATGTAAAAACATTGTAACTGGGAATCAAAATGGCATGCCCATACTCCAATATTTCACAATAATGACTTGTGATCTGGAGGGCGGCCTTTTGCATCCCCCAATGGACCAAATGTGGAATCCATACCCTTACTGAAATAATGGACAGAAATGGTTATAGAATGTTCCAAAATTTGAAAGATACTTTTTTCTATATTTACAATTTAGGTCAGCTATGCTGGCCTATGGAGTCCCTTGGGAAACCCAACTACGAAACATCCTATGATGGGGATTTATAAACAAATTATCTGGGCTCCCAAAAGGACTGATCTCTATAATACACTGAACAAAAATATAAACGCAACATGTAAAGTGTTGGTCCCATGTTTCATGAGCTGAAATAAAAGATCCCAGAAATTGTCCATATGCACAAAAAGCTTATTTCTCTCAAATGTTGTGCACTAATTTGTTTACATCCCTGTTAGTGAGCATTTCTCCCTTGCCCAGATAATCCATCCACCTGACAGGTGTGGTATATCAAGAAGCTGATTAAAGAGCATGATCATTACACAGGTGCACCTTGTACTGAGGACAATAAAAGGCCACTCTAAAATGTGCAATTTTGTCACACAACCCAATGGCACAGATGTCTCAAGTTTTGAGGGAGTGTGCAATTGGTATGCTGACTTCAGGAATGTCAACCTGAGCTGTTGCCAGATAATTGAATGTTCACTTCTCTACCATAAGCCACCTCCAGCGTCGTTTTAGAGAATTTGGCAGTACGTCCAACAGGCCTCACAATCGCAGACCACGTGTATGGCATTGTGTGGGCAAGCGGTTTGCTGATGTCAACATTGTGAACAGAATGCCCCATGGTGGCGGTGGGGTTATTGTATGGGCAGGCATAAGCTACGGACAACGAACACAATTGCATTTTATTGATTGCAATTTGAATGCACAGAGATACTGTGACGAGATCCTGAGGCCCATTGTCTTGCCATTCATCTGCCGCCATCACCTCATGTTTCAGCATTATAATGCACGGCCCCATGTCACAAGGATATGTACACAATTCCTGGAAGCTTCCATGGCCTGCATACTCACAAGGTCATGTCACTAATTGAGCATGTTTGGGATGCTCTGGATCGACGTGTACAACAGCGTGTTCCAGTTCCCGCCAATATCCAGCAACTTTGCACAGCCATTGAAGTGGAGTGGGACAACATTCCACATGCCACAATCAACAGCCTGATCAACTCTATGTGAAGGAGATGTGTCGTGCTGCATGAGGCAAATGGTGGTAACACCAGATACTGACTGGTTTTCTGATCCATGCCCCCACCTTTTACTTTTTTTTTTAAAGGTATCTGTGAAAAACAGATGCATATCTGTATTCCCAGTCATGTGAAATCCATAGATTAGGGCCTAATTAATGAATTTCAATTGACTGATTTCCTTATATGAACTGTAACTCAGTAAAAATCTTGAATATTGCGTTTAAATTTTTGTTCAGTATATATAAACAACTTTTGGAAAACTCATATTCTGAGCTAGCCGTTCAAAAAGTATGGTCCACGGACCTAATTGAATCTGAACAACCCTTCAACTGGAACAGAATATGGAAAAATATAACTTTGTCATCCCGGAATCCGAACCATCAATTTATACATTTTAAGTTTGTTCACAGACTTTATTTAACACCAAGGAAACGTTTTACTATTAAATTGGCCCCAACTCCCAACTGTTCACTCTGTCCCCTAAATCAGGGGACATTGCTTAATATGATGTGGGAGTGCCCTGCAGTTAAATGCTTCTGGGGCAAAGTTACAAAATTCATTTCGAAGTGCATGAATTTAAATATTCAATGCTTTGCTTCTATTATGTTAGTTAACGATGATAGCCCCTTGAATCTCTCAATCAATCCGAGAAGATAACATCTGGCAGGCAGCACTGCTGCTATTTTTTGTGGGGCTCTAAGATGGCAACCACCTCATTCTCTCCCATTTATCCAGTGGATACAGTTACTATTAGAAGTTATAATATTAGAATTATCGACAGCAAGAATGACTGGTGCTAGTCAAGGAACAGTTGAGGCCTGGACAAATATACTTGACTTTGTAAAGAACAATCTCGGCTAAAGCCCCACACATACAAAACAATTATATACATTTATTTAGACTTTTGTTACTTTCTTTGCTGGCCCACGGGGAAGGGGTGGTACGGCTTGAGAGGGAGGGTGCAGGCGGGTGGATGGGGACTGATGGGGGGAAATGGGTTGGGGTTGTCTTTGTATTCATTTATTTTATTGTTTTTGTACCTGTAACACCCCCCCCCCCCCCCAGCTCTGCAGTGGTCACTAGCTAGCACAGCCACAAAGTCATAAAATCTTACTTTAAATCTAACCTAACCTAACCATAACCACACTGCTAACCCTAACGCCTAACCCTAACCTTAAATTAAGACCAAAAAGCGTTTCATAAATGTTTACAATATAGCCAATTTTTACTTTGCAGATATCTAAAGGGAAATCGCTCAGTTCTGACTCCAGGACAACACTCATGACAATTAACGTCAACCTGCTAATCGTAGACAAATGGAGCTTAACATTTTGCAGTAGAGTGAAAACGCTTATGTGAAAATGCATACATATTTAGATGTATTTTGTCCCAATGTGGTAAGTGTTGCCGTTTCTCTCTGCACTGTAGTGATGAGGGGCTGATGTACGGAGCTTCTCTCTACTTTTTCATTTTCCTCACTGGCGGAGCCTTCATCTTCGCCAACCTTCTCGTCGCCGTGGTAACCACCAACCTTGAGATCTCCATGCCCGACTACGACGACAAGAATTCGAACGAGTGTTTGCCGGCAAGTCTGTCACTCTTTCCCTTTTCACATTTATTTTTTGTCACGTAGTGTTATTTATACCAAGGCACTGTCTGTAACTTCTTCTTGATCCTCATAAATGTGTGTTGTTGATGACAAAGGGGGTGGGAATGCATGATGAATTCCATGTCTTCCACATTAAGTTGTATACTGATTATTACAAGCTAACTTAGCTGCCTTTCAAAATCATCAATACTACCACTGCTCTTTCGTAGTTCCCTGTGTATTTAGTCCTCTCTCCCTACACACCATACTAAACTCTCTCCTCAACCCCTCCCCTCTCACACAGCTGATTCCAGAGGCCACGGGAGGCTTGACGGACCAGACCACCATCCACGTGGAGGAGGTGGTGACCAAGTCCAACATGACCCGGCGCCAGAAGTCCTGGAAGGGTAGCTGTGTAGAGAACCTGACCATGGACACCTTCGAGGAGCTGGCCCTTGTGATGGCTGCTATGCAGAAGAACATGGCTGCGTACAGGGAGATACGGCAGGAGCTGGACAGGTACTGTAAGTCGCTCTGGATAAGAGTGTCTGCTAAATGATGTAAATGTAAATGTAACGGAAGTCTGTTTGTTCTAGCTAGAAGCTATTGAAGCCACTATTCTTTTTGTCATCATCCATCACAGTAACTTATTCTGCGTTTCCAATTGGCTCATTTATCCCACTTCTCTCCCTGTAACTATTCCCCAGGTCATTGCTGTACATGAGAATGTGTTCTCAGTCAATTTACCTGGCAAAATAAGGGTTCAATTAAATAAAGTCATTGTGATACAAAGAAATTACACGTTTTTCAATCTCTATTTTTCTGAATTCAATGGGACAACCCCCCCCCCCCCCCTTATAAGTAAAGATGGTGTCTTCAATGGAATAAAATATTGTCTTTGTAGAGTGGATGAACTGTAGGTATATGGCCGACCATGTGTATGTGTTTATCCACAGTATAGTGGAGGAGGTGCACAGCCTGTCATTCAACGTAAAGCAAGAGCAGGAGGTGATTATGAGGAACCATATGGCTGCGACCCTCCAGGACAACCTATTGAATAATGATATCGCCACCGGCCGCACCGGAGACATTCTGTCCACCCTCATCACCCTGGAGAAGGTAGGGCAGTGGACATGGCACCCTATTCCCTATATAGTGCACTCATTTTGACCAGAGTCTTATGGGTGCACAATAGATTCATTTACTCTTCCTAGAGTTGTCTATAACCTTACATTCACTGTTCTGTTACCTGTCTCAGGCTCATGTCATAGACTCGAACACAGCATCCGCTCACCTGTTCCAGAAGGGGAACATGCGTCACGCAGCCATGAGGCTGTCCATGGACAGCCAGCTGTACTACCCGTCTACTTCTATACATGTGGATGCGGGACACAGTAACACTCCCAGCACACACCAAAACACAGGCTGAACGTACTTTTAACAGGCATTTCTTCATGTCCCAAATCATTTGGCTTTACTGATTAGCCGAAATGGTCTCAAAGATAATGCTAGATTACATTATTAAATCAGACTGAGGCTTGCTGCACACATTTCCACATGCAGATCAACATTGACCATGTAAAAAGACTGGTGACTGAGGTAAATGATCATAAAGGTTTCACAAAGTGTCTAAAAAAATATACCAAAAAGGATACAACTTGGAGTCTATTAACAGCATCTTTCTAAATACCTTTCCCCCCCCCCCCTCGGTATAATATTCATAACACTTCACATGTATTGCACAGATGTCTAAAGAAAAATTAAATTAATTGTTTGAAAAACATTCTAGTACAAAGCTTTTCCACGTTTATTACCGAATACAAAAGTCAATCCCATGTCTCAGGATGATCATTTCATGGGTCCGTTCTTGTACTGTTCCAAGATTTAGAAGGGTTTGTAAACATTCAATAACAAACACTTTCCATATTCAAAGACTATTAAAATAATAACTATTATTATTATTATGTGGTTGTTTCTATTTGTCCCATTTCACACATGTACAAGTGTGTATTAATACACATGTGAATTGGAAATGTGTTTTTTTTTGCATATCCCAACTCCCCCTGAACCACTCTCGGAGAGTGGGTCACGGCCAGGGTCTGCCATTATCAACAGCGACCCTGGAGCAATTAGGGTTAAGTGCCTTGCTCAAGGGCACATCGAGAGATTTTTCACCTTGTCGGCTCGGGGATTTGAACTAGCGACATGTTGGTTACCGGCCCAATGCTCTTACTGCGAAGCTACCTGCCACCCTAATGAGTCAGTCTACAACTTGTCTCCATTACATTACGTAAATGTACATGCGTCTGTTAGCAAACTAACAGACAAAGTTAATATCTTCATGGTAAATGGCCCAGCGGCTAACTGCGGTTGCCAAATTATTATTTGATAGCGATGGCCGGCGTGGGTCCAATATGGGTCCAGATGTAGCCTTTCTCTGGACGGATAGGAATGGTGGGGTAGGGGCAGCTCCTGGACTTGAAGTACTCCGAGGGGGCGTGGCACACAAACTCCAGGTACTCCATCTTCCTGGGCAGATCCTCCTCTGGACCTATAGAAGCAATCAGGTAATCAGTAATGGAAACATTATCAGCTAGTAGTGGTCTTGGAGTCCACTGTGACATTACTCCCATATACACAATGTTCAGAAAGAGACAAATAACTTATTTCTGTGTGCTCAAATGTAACTTTAATTTTTTTTTGATAAATGAATGAAAATGTATGCACTCACTAACTATAAGTCGCTCTGGATAAGAGCGTCTGTTAAATGACTAAAATGTAAAAATGATAAATACTCAGATTCAATCATCACTCACCAACAATGTAAGTGGCAGGATCAAACAGGTCCTTAGGACTGGCCTGGGTTGGTATCAACCAAGTCAATGCGGCACTCTTCTCACAGTACTGGTCCTGGATGAAACCTCTGATCTGTGCATAGTACGGCCTCCCATCATCCTCGTCTGTCACTTTGATGACGTCTCCCATCTGATAATACACACCCTGCACAATGACAAACGAAGGCAGAACTATTGCTGACAGCTATACATATCTGTGGCATACATTATACAACAGATATGTTTGTTATGTTTGCTAACATACTGTATGGAAAGGATTTATAAAAAGTAAACATACCTTATAAAATACTGATTCTGATGTGATGATCGTGGAAACAGATTCGGGTGCTTTGATTGGCTGTGGGAAAAAATAAAAAAATTTAGGAGGAGCTTAGAGTTCAACAACTGTGACTTCTGACAATCCAACACAAAGATAGAGTTCCTGTGTATTTGAACTAATTATGTACTTACATTTTTTAGTTTGAATATGTGTCTTCTTCCTTTTCCTTTGGTAGACACCTTTTTCTCAGAGGCAGGGGCTTTGTACTTGGTGCTCCTCAACCGTGCTGATCTCCTGTGGATCTCTTGTTTAGACTGTGGGCAAGATGTGTCAAATACCAATATTACATCTCCATCTGGGTGACAATGTGTCAACATGCATATATTGTTTTCTGTTTTGCCTTGCAAATAGAAGAGTATGGAGGTACAGTCACTAAGGGGAGCACAGTACATTCTAGTGCAGGCCTAGGTACAGAGTGTACAAAACATTAGGAACACCTCCCTAATATTGAGATGCACCCCCCTTTTGCCCTCAGAACAGCCTCAATTCGAAAGCGTTCCACGGGGATCCTTGCCCATGTTGACTCCAATGCTTCCCACAGTTGTGTCAAGTTGGCTGGATGTTCTTTGGGTGGTGGACCATTCTTGATACACATGGGAAACTGTTCTGCGTGAAAAACCTAGCAACTCGACACACTCAAACTGGTGCGCCTGGCACCATACCCCGTTCAAAGACAATTACATATTTTGTCTTGCCCATTCAGCCTCTGAATTCTTGCCCATTCACCCTCTGAATGGCACACATACACAACCCATGTCTCAAGGCTTAATAATCTTTCTTTAACCCGTGTCCTCCCCTTCATCTACACTGATTGAAGTGGATTTAACAGGTGACATCAATAAGGAATCAGAGCGTTCACTTGGTATGGAAAGAGCTCCTAATGTTTTGTACATTCAGTGTATGTGCTCAAAACGACAAACAACCTGCTTGCCCCCGCCATTATTCTGTTGTGTGTTGGAGGACGCCGAGGGTCCAGATGCTCCACTGCTGGTGCTCTTCCCCGTGCAGTTATTGCACAGGATCTCTCCTTGGTTTCCCTTTTTCCACATAGACGATGAGATTGTTTTGCAGACAGCGCAACATGGTTTCAAACCCAGAGGCATCTTGAAAGTGTGGGCCAGCGAAATGATGAATGCAGAAGCTAGCTAGCTATTTAGCTAACTGCTTTCTGGCTAACAACATCAGCAACAAGCAACGTAAAGCATGCAAAAAAATAAAGAGCCGGTCGTCCGCTCGCGCAGACAAACAGCTACAGAATGCAAATAAAATAAAACCAGCAATAATCGATAGCTAGGTTTAAAGGAACAACACAAATAGCTACATCGATTTAGCACAGACTGCTAGCCAGTCTGTAAAATGTATTCTTATTTCAGCTAGCTAGTTTGTTGGGAGCACTTAGCAAAGTGTATTGCGCCACCTACTGTGATGGAGTGTATCGACAGCCTTATATTTATCTAACAGGCAGGCTTATAAACACTTAGCTACTCCTTTGTAAAAAATCAAACAAAAAACAATCATATTGTCTGAAACAGGAGTTTGTCTGAAACAGGAGTACATACGGTAGCTAGATACTTTAGTTTTCGATGAGAGAAAAAAAGATCCAATCAAGCCTACGTCACTGCTCAAAAAGTAGCGGGGCCCTTACACTCCTCGCAACTGTATATCAACCGTTGCCACCACTGGGGAAACATCCTTATCCATGTTAAAATGTCTGGAGACAACGTGGAAGACCAAGTTAATCATGCATCTAACAGCAAAGGCATCTCTCTTCCAATGACTCGCGTGAAACTGATCATGAAAAGTTCTCCCGACGTCTCAAGCATCAACCAAGAGGCTCTTCTCCTCACCACCAAAGCAACAGTAAGTTGAGTCCAGTTTACTGACGTAGCTATGCTAACTAGCTAATGCTATATTAGCTACCTTTACTTAGTTAATAGCTAGGCCTGCTAGCTAGCTAGTTTTGCAGTAAGGCTTTTGCATATACAGGCAGTACTAGCTAGCTACTTCCATTAGTTCAAGCTCGTGAAGAAGGTAGCTAGCTAGCTAGCTAACCCTGAATGGCTGTAACAGTTAGCTAGCTAGCCCTGCACTGACATGGCTGTAGCCTCAACCAAAATAGGATGTAAACCCTAATGTCTGAATGTCTTTGCCTCGGCTTACTTTACATCCATCAGAGCCTTGTAAATAGAATACTCTGGTCTCCATTGTTACTGTTAATAAATGGGAACTGTCCCATGTAATAACAATTTAATTCATAACGCTCATCTCTTCTAGGAACTGTTCGTTCAGCACTTGGCTCTGTCCTCGTTCAACAATGGATCAGGGAAAGACAATAAGACACTCCTCTACAGTGATCTGGCCAATACTGTTGAGGAGACTGAGACTTTTCAGTTTCTCACAGGTAAAAACTATTGTCGCCACCACCACCAGTGACTTTCATTATCTTCTCTTTGAGCATACAGTATAGTCAATATTGACTACCTGTTCATTATACTGTTGCAGATATCCTACCAAAGAAGATCTTCGCTCGGGATTACCTGAAGCTCATAGAGGAAAATCCAATTGAGGAAGCAGACAATTGAAAAGACATGCAACCCTTACAGCAATAGTGGTTGCTAGCATGTAGTCTGTTGAAGCGTTTTTCTCCAGCTCATTCCTGAATTAGACCACATCCATACTACTTCCAGGCGATGGCATTGTGTAGGCCTACATCTTCTCTGAGATGTACTAGAGTATATTATGTTTACTACCATTAGTTGCCCAGTCATCCAGATGCTGGGCATCCAGTTTAGGGTCAGAAAGAATCAGTATGTGAATTGACTACAGATAAAGCATTAAAATCATATGTTGACCATGATACCAACCCCATATTCCCCCCCACAGCAATCACCTGCTGCCGAAGAGAAACGTCTGTGCTCCCCCTGGTTTTGTTATCAATCGGTGCAAATAGTGCAGGCTTTCATTTGTTTTGGGCATTATTTTTCTACACAAGATCTTGAAGCAAAGGGTGAACAAATCAGGTGCTTAAAAAATATATATATATATATTCCATACAAGCGATGCAGTTCTCAGGTCAAAGCAAATTGACTCATTGGTTGTGTCCTTTTTATAAAGAGGAACCCCTATGCACGGTCTTTGCTAATGCTGACTATCTACTTGATATTTGACTTTTGTATGATATACCTTTCATTCATGAACAATGTTAACTAATCTGTAGAGATATAGATATGCAAACCGATTCCTTTTAGCTATGTGACTTGAGTATAAAATACACAACTTTTGCTGTGTTTAGTGTGATCTATATTACTCAGTCAAAACCATAGGTAGTTTCAGTACTGGGTGGTTACAGGCAGCACCAATTTAATAATGAAAATCTCATTTCATTTTTTAGTAACGGCTCCTCTCAGATTGTGATGAATTTACATGAGGATCGGCACTGCCACATGTAGGTTTTCATGTGAAGACTTTGGACTTAAATAAAACATTCATCACACAGACTTAATGCTACATTTATTAAATCAAAGTCTAAATATGCTACTGTGTGTTTGTGCGGTTGAACTACGAAGCAGGCTACTGTAACTGCTAGCATGTACTGTCTCAAGAATGGAAAGAATGCACTGAACTTGTGCACTAACCGCTGTGTATATATTTTCTACAAGTGTTTGTAACAGCAATTACATCCCACCTAACAATTAAAAGACTTGCCTTTTGTATGTTTTTTTGTTCCATAATTTAGTTTTGTTAATGAAAATAAAATCTTCATGCTATACAGACTATGCGTCATTCCCTATTTGTGTTGCATTATTGTTTTCACCTTGTTGCAACAAAGCATTTACATAAATGTTACAATTTTATACCACACACTGTATGAGTGTCACACACAGTTGTACTTCAATAAAAAACATCTCTATGGAACAGGTCTGCAGGCTGGGAGTATAGAAATAGATTTTATTGCCATCAATATCTCCCCGATGCTGTAGGCTTTGCATGCAGTTTGGGTTTCAGATACATACGATTAAAATACACTTAATAGTAACATGACGCTATGGAGGAATAAATACAGAATACAGTACAAATACAGAGAAAGTACACCTCATGCTTTGTACAGGGTTTCCTACCCTGAGTATGCATGCATTTCTAGTGGGAAATATTACATGATGGTACGGTTCATTCAAAAGCTGACAAAAAAAGAGCCTGAAGAACACATAATTCACTGTGCCATTAGTTTGTCAAGTCGGAGTTGCATGATGTGTAAAGACTTCTCTAGGCTGGAGAACTGTTTCTCTAGGAGGGCTGCCACGTGGTCTCTTCCATTGATTGAGTCCTTCGTGTTGGCAATGTGCTCCTTTATACTAGAAACAGACAACATTTTAAAAAAAAATCACTAAAGATACAATACACATTAACCTAAAAACAGGTTCCTAGTCCAATAAACCTTTTCCATAATAATGTACTCTTGGAGCTCCTAAATAATTACATCTAAGAAGTTACACCGACACTATCAATTACACGCACATAATATTTAGTTGTATTGTTTGTATATCTTTGTATTTTAAATGTGTGTGACTGTTATTGTCTATCAGTGTATCAGTGTTTTGTTACTTGTCATGTTTTCTGTTTTTGTGTGGACCCCAGGAAGAATAGCTACTGCTTCGGCAAAAACTAATGGGGATCCGAATAAACCAATACCAGCGGGATTGGTTCAAACTGTATGGTACTAGAAAGAGAAAGTCTGATCTCATTAAATTGCATTGTAATGCTTTGTAATTAATCTCATACCAGGACTTTGGTTCAGCCAGATGTGGGGAGGACTGAAGAAGTAGAACGTGAAATGATTCAGGCGGTGTTTGGACGACTGTTTCTGCTCTGTTTTTAGACCCCTCTACTCAGTAGGACAGGTCCTGACTAGTGGTTGATCATGCATGACTTCATCCGCTAGGAATTCAACAATGCTGGTTGCAGCAGAAAGCTCCACATTCCCTTTTGTTCCCTCACTCCTCTACACATTCTCCTGCTTGCACATGTCCCTAGAGGAAGTTCACTAAATTCCCTTTGATGAACTAGATTCTACAATAATTTCATTTCTCAATAGTTTTACTATGCCAATAACAAACAAAATCACTGTGTTAAAAGGGCATTGATATGACTGCTTGAGTATTCATTCTTTAGGAGTCAAGCTTAGAGCAAGCCTACTATGCCGTCCTGTTTACCACAAACAGCAGGTGGAACAAGACTAGGGGCCAACTCAGTGCTGTGGTGCAGTGAGTGAATCTACCCCCTCACCTTGAGAAGACCCAGTGCTCCTCCCCCTCACCTTGAAGATCCAGTGCTCCATCCCCTCTCCCTAACCTTGAGAAGATCCAGTTCTCCATCCCCTCCCCCTCACCTTGAGAAGGTCCAGTGCTCCATCCATTCCCCCTCAACTTGAGAAAATCCAGTCCTCCGTCCCCTCCCCCTCAACTTGAGGTCCAGTGTTCCGTCCCCTCCCCTAGAGAAGGTCCAGTGCTCCATCCCCTCCCCCTCACCTTGTGAAGGTCCAGTGCTCTGTCCCCTCCCCCTCACCTTGTGAAGGTCCAGTGCTCTGTCCCCTCCCCCTAATCTTGAGAAGGTCCAGTGTTCCGTCCCCTCCCCCTCACCTTGAGAAGGTCCAGTGCTCCGTCTCCTCCCACTCACCTTGTGAAGGTCCAGTGCTCCGTCCCCTCCCCCTCACCTTGAGAAGGTCCAGTGCTCTGTCCCCTCCCCCTCACCTTGAGAAGGTCCAGTGCTCTGTCCCCTCCCCCTCACCTTGAGAAGGTCCAGTGCTCCGTCCCCTCCCCCTCACCTTGTGAAGGTCCAGTTCTCCATCCCCTCCCCCTCACCTTGAGAAGGTCCAGTGCTCCGTCCCCTCCTTCCTCTTCTCCTCCAGTGTGAGGAACACCTTCTGCATGGTCTCCGTCGTCTCTGTCACGTTCAGGTAGTCCGCCCGCACCACCTGCAAGTCCTCCAAGGCCTGCTGTTTAAACGAGGCTGAGGTTCCCCCCTCTACCACCACCTCGCTAGCCAGGGACACCGCCTGCAGGGCCGCCCTGTTCTGGAGCACCAGCAGACGGGACTGCTCAAACTCCTCTGGCCCCGCGATGTCGTCCCAGCAGACTGGAGAGGCAGAGGGCAGCCAGAAGCGCTGGGAGCAGTTGACAGGGTTCCCCGGAGTCTCTGTCACAAAGGGGCTGTCGGCGGGGAAGCTGTGGAGGAGATCCTGGAGGTTGAAGGAACCGGAGCCCCACTCCCAGTCTCCCTGCATGAGCTCCCCTGACTCTGGGTCGGGTGTGGGTCCCACCTCCGCCCCCACCGGGCACCAGGCACTCAGCAGGAGGCAGCAGGACAGGCAGAGCCAAGCCCAGCTAGTTGTTCCATCCTGGAGCCACTGCATCACGATGTAGCTGAACTAGTCTTGTTCCCCAGCCGTGTGTCTATTAGCCTGGCAAGCAAGGCTGCTGGGCCTGAGGAGTAATGCAATGGGTATTGTTATTCAGATAGGCCTAATTTGTGCAGCTAGAAATAAACATGGTACCAGTCCAGCAGTGAATCATTCATCCAGGAAAACATGAGCTCATTTCCAAGCCACAGGACTCTTTGTTTTGAACATTACAGTTCACAGTAACTTTTCTGTATTTATCACATCCAATACAGTAGGTTCTGCAATCAGAGTTTAGTGACTTTAATCCGTTCTTGAACAACTTTCACCTACTTTTTCCTGTGTATTTTCTTCCTGCCAGTGGGGTGGTCTAATTGTAATGTTTGGCATGGTGGCACTAGGGCAGACTGTCTAACCAGTTTTCCATGTTATGATGTCCGTGCTGCAGGCGACAAGATGTGTGTTTAAAAGTATTTCCCTGGTACTTACAGTACAAATGTAAGCCTATAAAGCTGTGCAATAATGTTGTGGGACCATCACTGTTAAATACAATCTTAATGGAACCACCATAGGTGAAATATTAAAAAACAAAACGCAAACACTGTGGGCTACTCCACTGCTTATGTTATGAACAAACATTCATTTAGATATTTGGTTCAAACGAATTGGGGTCAATCGAATCATTCCCGCCAGGTCGTGGAAAATAACCCTAATCGTTCAGCACTGCAATCGGTTTATTCTGCAAACGGTCATAATTTGTCGTATCTTCATGTTTATACAATAGCTTCTCTAAACTGTAAAGCAAAACAAGAACATACTTACAACTGTCATCAAACGGCGTATTGCAAATATTTTTTTAATGCAAAGATTACCTTATAGAAGAAAATTCCAGAGACTTACGCAGTTTAGTCCGTCGCTGGTGCAAGTCAAGTCACACATGGTGAGCTATTGGAAAGTATGACTCGCTCTCTCCCTCTTTCTCTCTCAACGGTCTGAACAGCCTGGTGTCAGTGCATTTCGTATTATTCTGTACGTAAATCCGAAATTTAATTAGCATGATACCTATGTTACGTTTCATATGGTATATATTCATTTGTAGATGTCCATCACCTATTTCGTATGATATGTTACGAATTATAATTTGTATGATATGTTACGAATTCTAGCTAGGTGGCTAACGTTAGCTAGGCTAGGGGTTAGGAGTTAGGGTTAAGGTTAGCTAAAAGGGTTAGGGTTAGCTAACATGCTAAGTAGTTGCAAAGCAGCGAAAAAGTAGTGAGTAGTTGAAAAGTTGATAATTAGCTAAAATTGTCCGTGATGAGATTTGAACTCACAACCTTTGGGTTGATAGACGTTCGCGTTATACACCCACCCACCCTACTTTAGTTTTTGCCTTAAGTAACCATCTGTCTTATGTAACCATACAAAGTGTAACATTTTACCTCAATTAACCGGTACCCCCTGTATATAGCCTCCCTACTGTTATTTTACTGCTGCTCTTTAATTATTTTTTACTGAACACTTCTTTTTCTTAAAATTGCATTGTTGGTTAAGGGCTTGTAAGTAAGCATTTCACTGTAAGGTCTACACTTGTTGTATTCGGTGCATGTGACAAATAACATTTGATATCATACTAATTAGCTTATCCGGATTTCCGTTTACTGTGTTATGTCTAGTCTATGAGACCAGGCTGGTCTGAAGAACAAGCAAAGCACCATTCATTTGTCGAATACTAACACAGACCGCAATTTTGTAGTGTAATTCGGTTTCTTAAATTGGCACTTTTGGTGCTGTTACTTATCTGGTTTATTGATTATGTGGTACTGACAGCTGTAATTTTAGAAGCCAACTAATACAAAATAAATTAGCATTAATTTGTCCAATAAATATAACTTATGAATGTTGACTTTTTAATAGAGATCTATTTTATGCGCAGGTTGTGTCCTGCAGACTTGACATGGATTCAAGTAGAATACATGGAAAACAGCTGCGATTTAAAGGGAAAAGTAGGCCCCAAATTAAAGTTTGTCAGATGATTGTATACTTCAAAAGAGGTCTAAATCAAGGGTTGTCAATATTCCGTAGCATATGTATTTGAGGAAATCTGCAGTCTTCAAACCCAAGTGAATGGGAGTCAACGGCACAATCTAATATAGATTGTGCACATGCAACAGTGGACTCCATTTGAAAAAACACTGCTACGTGTAGACTTGTCAAATACTGTACTTGTGGGGCAGTATGAAAACAAATAGACAATGGCTGAAATAAGAAACCAAAGTATAGCACCTCATTTATACAAATTCAAAATAATATTAGGATTTATGGACACCATGTGTGTGTGTTTAGTGAGTGGTGTTTTGGCAGTAAAATAGAAAAGGCGGCAAGGGGTGTATTTGGAAAAGTCTAGCACTGATATAAGTAAATAGAAATGGGAGAAATACTTGGCCAAAACAGCTAAAGATGGATGGTGTTATTTCATTGGGAACATGTGGTTCAAGAAGCCAAAAATGTGCCTTACTAAATGAATAACTTGCAGAATCTATAATGTCCGCCTACAGGAACCATGACCAGTTATTAATACACACATACATCAAGGGACTAGATTAAACTATTCACATTTTAACCAAATCTTAATATGCATAGTAAAAGAAGAGACAAACGTTTGAAGAAACTTTACATTTTTATTAATTAATGCAATTTACAGCCAAGCCAGAGTGAACTATATTAAGTGAAACATATTCACATTATTTCCTATCAGGGTTTTACAGCATATCTTGTGTATGTAATCATAATTGTTAACAACCAAAGTAATAGAAATCAAAACCCAATGACACTTTACGACAACAACTAGAACAAGGAGATTAGCAGTGGATACGAACAAATAAACCAGCACCAAAAAGACTCCATGATAGGAATGAAAGAAAATTCAGTTTTGGCATGTGGTAAAAGAGAGAAACTCAAGACTGAACATCAAAATGACAGGCGAGGGAGGTTTGAGTTCACAGGACTGTGCAGGGCTGCCTTTGCAAAGAGAGAATTTGGTCACTTCTCTCCTCAATGGCTTACATTTAAAGAAACAAAAAAATCCTTGAAGGGTTAAAACAGAAATTGTAGTGTCCTGGAAATTGTGTTTACTGTGAAAAGTCAAGACATGAGGAAATGTAGGGCTTTTGAAAAACGTTAATTGATTATAATTTGAGGATGAGTCATAAAAAATGATGTAATAACGGATCAAATAAAATTAATCAGGTGACTGCATCTCCAGGACACTTACATTCATTGGAGGTAGATATATGGCAATGACGCATGCATGACATGGTTTCTTAAGGTGTCTATGTATGGGAATCAAGCTTTTTCGCAAGTTGTGGATTCTAGTGCATAATTATGTACTTTTAAGGCCAAATATACAAGAAGGATGTACCCCATTTGAAGTTCTAAGGCTATCTTAAGACAAAAGGTGTGCGAGAGAAAGATCAGGATGACAAACAGTTGCAGTTACAGCCCTTTCACGGCAATACCGGGGTCAACGGTCACGTTGAACAGTATGGAGTCGCCATTGTTTTGTTGATGGAAAATGACATGAATTCCTCAGTGACTGAACCCAATTTTTTTGGGGGTTCTATGGACACTCACAGCATCCTAACAAGCAAAACATGGAAAGTATGTGGCTACAATTTAGAATTATTCTGATGATCAAATTTATTGTTAAAATTGCATACATGACAATCACACAACCATTTCTTTTGGCCTCAGGTTCAGAAAAGACCATTACATTTTTATGACAGTGAACAGGTTTTGCATGGCATATGCACAGCCTTGTGACATTCAAACCTCCCAGAGAGGGGATATTTACATTTTATTGGACAATATGAAGACAAAATAAAAATGAGAAAAGTCAATGCAGCATTTATCAGGCTTATGAGGTACTTCATGAATATATATATATATATCTTTACCTTTTTAGAAAAGCTCTTCAGTCATATTATTCCTTATAACTCCTATTGATAGCATAAAATACCTTGTGTTTTATTAATTTTTCTGTCTGCCCAGCCTCAAGCGGGCTTTTTTTAAAATTATTTTTTTAACTGCTTTGAAAGTGCAAAACACAAATACTGATCGTTCTATGCAGTGTCTTCACTCAAGGTCGCATGATAATGTAGAAATTATTTTATGTGGTGCTGTTAATCAAATATGGGTGAGCAACTCAAATAGGATAGATGGAAAATAAATCTCTAAAAAGGCACAACACCATAATTGGAATTGAATTTCCATACCTTTTTTGTACCTTTCCATTGGGCTATCAGATTATCTTAAGTGACTGAAATATACCAGTAGGCTACATCAGTATATCATGTCACAATGTACAACATTGAGGAAAGTATAGTTCAAATGTATTCAATTCGTAAAATGTAGCATGCACAAATAAATGTATTATCCTTATCAAAAACATTACAAATGTGGATAATTAATAGTTTGATAGTGATTTTCCTTTTTCTGGGTGTAAGAACAGATTAAAATTGGTAAAAGCCTTGCCGGTTTTATTGTGGTACTGGATAAAATCACTTAAAGATGCAGTTTGTGTCAGACCCTTAGTTAGCTTTAACTGTGGACCATTTATGTTTGCTAGTGTAGGTTTGCTAAGCTACAAGTATATTCCAATTATCAGACATCCTCGTCATCTCTTAAAGGCTGAATGAAAGATGCCATCTAGTCGAAGGCCTGCTGTAGTCGACTCTAGACCACAAGCCAGGGTTCATGTAGCTCACTAGGTGAGACACGCCATACACCTTGACTAGGCTCCTAATACACCTAGTCAAGCAAATCACAACCCTAGCTTGGACTTCAGTAGTTATTGCTCTGCATATGTCATCCCACTGACAAGCCTCTCTCTCCATCTGCAGCCCACTATTTCTATTTAATACTACCAAAAACGTTTAGCATGAATAGTGATAATTTGTCCATCTAAATAGCCATTCGATTGGCACATCAATATATCATCCAGTCATGACCACGCGAACGACTCCCAACTCAGTTTCTGCTAGCTAAGCGTTCATTGGTCTTTTTTTTTATCACTACATAAAAAAAAAAAAGGGAGGACTCGCATGCATATATAAGAACATTGAGACTTGAACTGCAATTACAAAATGTGGTCCTTTGAACTTTATTTTAGTATGTAAAGTTAATCTGTAATTAATTTTTAAAAAGTAAAATAATGTCTATATCATACACAGTATTGGTTTGTGTTGTTTGGTCACTACAATTGATCTTTGTCTTCGTCATAAATTAGGGATATACAACGCTAGCACCCGAGACCGTTCTGAGGTAGTTTGGTAAGTTGGTATATAAAAAGCCAAGTCATTCTGAAGCCCTCAATACTTTCTGAAGGATACAAAACACCCATGTCAGTCCTGCATGTTAAATGCACGTATATGGCATTAGTTTGGTGAAGCTCTATGAAGGTTTTTAAATTAGGATCGCATCACTGTGGGTCATACTTTGCATGACGACGATCCTGGGCTAGTGCTTGGAATCAGCTCAACCAAAGAATACTCAAACAATCGTGCTGTCTACTCAAGGGGGAGCGAGGACTGAGATATGGGACGCTCATCATAGCAGGGCATGCTGAAGCCATGACACTGAGACAGCAAACAGTTGCACATGAAGCATCACGTCATGTTAGAGGTTGTAAGTGTCTTAAGAACTAACATTGGCAGACATTCCAAGAAAGGTGTAAAAAATAAATGAAATGTTGGATTAGTTGCCTGAGACAGCATTAGTTTGAAAATTACTATCTAGTGTGTACTGTAGTGGAATATCAGAACCAAGACAAGCATACGCCAAAATCGCACAACACCTCACACAAACAAAGAAAACGTTTTTAAACGGGACCGATCTTTCCACCAGTGTGACACTTTGTGGCCAAAAGGTTTTCATTTTATAGTAGTC